TTCGGCTGCGGCGGGCGGAAGTTGTTATACGGAGCGCCCATCTGGGAAGGCGATGCTTGATGGGGGTGCTGTCCGCCTTGCGCTGACAACGAGGATTGAGGGAGAGGGGCAGATCGAGTCGAAGGGGAAGCAGAAGTATTCGTCGACGAGGAAGGGCCGTCTGAGCTCTTGCTCTGGAAGAGGCTTTTTACGTCGAACCCGGCGCGTTTGGGAGTTGACGAGGACGGCGTGGCGGACGAAGATGATGCTGCAGCGGACGAGGTCGACGCTGCAGAAGGAGGTGTTCCTGTCGAAAACGACGTGGTCCGCGAGTGCATCTTGCCGTTTGTGTTTGCTGCAGGTACGGAGCCAAACGTCTTGATGCCGTCGGGCTTGATAGTCGGTACGGAGGCGGGGGAGGATGAGATGGGTGCCGAGGTGTCATCTATGGACCCAAAGGTCACCGATGAGCCTAGGGGTATGTGAGATCGTGTGGACAACGTGGATGAGAGGAGAGACAGCAGGGATCCCTTTCTGACGAGGCCAACGTGCTAAGGGTCTTCGCCCGATAGGACCTCAACATGTCCAGGACGGTGGGACTCTCAACCGGACGAAAGGTACCCACTACCATCCTAAACACCTCCACATTCACCCCGACTGCAACGCGGACATCCCTGCCGTGCAACAAAATAGAAGGGCACGCACCTGCTTTTGAGCCATTTGTCGGTGTGCGAGCTCCTACGCCATCTTTGAAAGCCACACCCTGTCCCAACGTACTCGGTCGTCTAGAGTGGGTTGGTGCTGAAGGAGCGGTCGCAGAAGGAGCGGGAGATTGCGGTCGGGGCGACGACGCTGTCGAAGTGTTCGCTGGCGGGCCTTTTGCCCAAGCTGACTTTGACGGTAGCTGCGACGACGTCTTTGGTGCAGAGGCCGTTGAGGATTTGCTCATTCTACGGACGCGATTGCGCACGCGATGAGCGCAAGACGGGGTCTGCGAAGAGAAAGACTCACGAAATGCAGCGATTTGGATGATTGATAATTGAACTTGGCGTCGCGTGAAGGTCGGTCGTGAAAGCTGACCTGCCTGCAGGCGAACAAAAGGTCGCGAGGAGGTTCTAAAGCTCGAAAGTCGGATGCTGGATGGTCAGCAATCCGCGGATGTCTGTCCAGATGGAAGACGGAGGCAAGGTGTGGGGAGGACTCCGAAACAAAAAAATCAGGCCCGCAGGGTGGGACCCCGGCATCACGTGGCACCGCAACCCCTAGTGACATCACGTCCGGGGCCGCGAAGCGCATACAGTACTAGTCATCGCTCAGTCTGAGATGTTCGAGTTCATTGTCTGTAGTATTCTGCTCATGATATACACGGGACATGCAGTACTGTACTGAGTGGGAGGACCGCAGGCAGCAGGCGCGAGTTGTGTCTAGTAGCGACCGGGTACTATTAATTGCGATAGCAGACGAGGCCGGCAAGTATTACTACTACAGGTGTGTGCGATGCGCATATTGAATCTGTTGATAACGCCTTGACGTTATCGCTCGGCGAAGATGGTAGCTCTGCTGGAAGAATAGCAACGTGCGCGACATCGAAGGAATACGCCTCTTCGGAATGCAAGCATGGCTCGCCGAGACTGAAGCACGCGCCGCTTTTAAGCAACAGCAACTCATCGACATCGATGGCGTATGCCTAAAGCAAAGGATTAGCTGTTGAAAACTGATAAGGCGTTGTCAAGGACTTACTTACCCGTTTCGAACTTCGAAGAGGGTAATCACTCTGACATTGCTACGGCCAGACAACTTGAACGAGTAGGCCTTCTTAGTAGGCACAAACATGGCTTCCGGGGTCTGCGGAAGGGACGCGGTGGTCCAAATCGTCCATGAAGCTGCATAGTAGGTAGTCGTCATCGGCGATGCAGATTTTGACATGTCTGTCTATCTCGTCCACCGGATGTTCATGATTGCATTTGTCGCAAAGGACGAGTGAGCCTGCAGGAAGGTTCGCGGAGGAAGTCCAGGTACACACTGGCCATGTGACATGAAGAAATTGCAGGACGGCCAAACGATCACCTTCCCTGCACTGGCCGGTGTCGACATCCAGCGCGTCGGAGTTTCGCTTGCTCGAAACAACACGCCTATCCATGGATCCCCTCGGCAACACGCAGGGCACACCTCCCGGCTTGGAACGGCTGCGTGAAAGTCAATGAGCCACGGTTCGCAAAGTGTCGTATGACCTCCAACTCACAAGATGTGCTGCGTCCCTCGTGGCCAAGAGGCTGAGCGGTCGATGTGGGCCCTCTTGGGCAGTCCAACGCAACGTGAGGGTTATTATGGGCTTGGCATATAATTCTCCCGGCCGTGTCGGGGTGAATGTGATGCGAGTTCTGGCAGAGACGAGCTGCTGTCGATATAATTAAGTGGGCTGAGTTATGAGACGACGCGACGAGCTCACCATACAAGTATCGATAGCGTGATAGCTATGATCATGCACACGGGGCAACTTGGATGCTTCCCTGCTTCGCCCTGCTTTCGGTCAAGGCGGGGTTCTTCGCTACTGAATGGTGGGCGTGCGTCATGAGTGCGGATCGCTGGCGTGTCGGTGCTTAGGGCCCCGTTTCGATGTCGTCGAGATGCCTCGGCATGCGAGCATCATGTAGGGAGACACGGACGTCCTGGAGGAGCTGTGAGGAGCAGGTGCGGATGTGGCCGCCCGGCTGTTGTGAATGTTGCGATCAACGAAGGCTTCCTCCTTCGCATCACACGCGAGGTCAGCACGGGGCCTAAGTAAAAGGCTGTTGCCAGGATGACGAGACGTACTGCCAGAGGCACCACGGCTCCTCTGCTCAGTGCCCGCGTGTATGCGTTCCGGCGCTCACTCTGGCAAATACCTCAAGATTTCTCTCCATGAGATCGACATCGTGCTGAAGAGGAAGAGCATGGGAAGGTGGCAGTCTGAAAGCTTGGTCGAACACGTTCGGGACAAGTTCAGGAACTTGGTCGAGTCTCGGAAATCTCCGTGCCGTGGCTATGCCGCTGAACATGAAGCTCGATCGGAGCCAGCTCAGGCTTCGAGTACTGTACAGTACAGTACAGTACAGTACTAGCCTAACAACTTGACGACTCGCCCACGCTCTGAGCTTCACTCCAGCGGGACAACACACTGCCTGCACAAACACTCCTGCGCACTGCCGCATCTTGGCGGGTTGCCCGGCGGCACTTAGTCCTTCCAGCGCACTGCGAAACTAGGACGACCCTCAACGTAAACTTCCGTCACCACTCAACTGCTTCCGAGATGGCACAAGCTGCAGGCCTCCCTGAAAGCGAGAGCGGCGGCGCAACCGCACCGACGCAGCAGCCGCTGGTGATGCAAATCGTCGTCCGCCGTGACCTCCTCGACGTTCGTCGATCGTCCATTCGAACGAGCCTTCTTCTCAGTTTGCTGATCTACATCATGTCGACGCATGCAATGTGCTGCGACGACTTTGTGCAGTGCAGGCGGAAGGCTGGGGCGTAGGCCCGCTGATGGCGCAAGTAGCTCACGCGACGTCTGCCGTAACTGTTCATCCACTGTGGTTCGAAGCAAGAGCTCAAAGCCTGAGGGCTGACGCGCAACTTTCTCAGGTCCTTCACGAGACTCGTGAGCGTCCGGAAACGCAGGCTTACTTGGACGATCTCAAGAATATGCGCAAGGTCAGGCCTGTTCTCTCCTGTCTGAACCCCGCCGTCCGTACTGACATGGGTTGCCGTTCACAGGTTGTAATGCAAGTGCGTGCCCGTGAACGCACCCGCCCGCTCCACTAGAGGCCTGACCGCCTTGTCAGACTACCGATCAAGCCAGTATCGAGAAACTCGCGAAGCTGCTGGACGCCTGTGATCCTCCTGTCCCGTATCACCTCTGGATCGAGCAGCCGGAGAACATACCGACGTGCCTTGCACTCTCCCCAATCGGAGGGAGTCCAAGATCAAGAAGGCACTGGACAAGTCTAGTTGCAGGTTGTGGAAGGCTTAGGAGCCTGCGCTTACCGTAGACGACATGGTTCGGGACGTTCGAGCGGCATGCGAGCCTTTGGGGTGGGCAGAAAGTGAGAGCTCTATTGATACATCACCAGTACAACATCATCGAAGAACGATCGTAACAGCAACGCACAGACACCAGGATAGCACAACCATCACAGCCCGCGTCGTGTCGCCAAAGCAGGGAAAGACAGCGGGGTGCAAGGGACTAGTACATCTCGAGACTCATCCCGTCATGGATCTCGTAGTCCGCGAGGGTGATGTGGTCCTTGTATATTGTGTACCTGCACGGCCGAGCGCGGAGTCAATCGCCCACAGCACGCGGCGCAGGCAATGCGAACGTGGGGAACGCACCATTTCTTGAGCTGGATCTTGGTGTGATCGGTACCGGTCTGGGCAGCAATGAGTCGCTTGAGGTCGCCGACGGTGTCGTCGGGGCTGCACTTCACGCGCACTGCATGGTGATTCGTAGTTTCAGACATTATAGCGTCAAGATGGATCGGTTCTATCGCACCTTTGCGCCCGAGACGATCATTAGCAATGACCTGTATTCCCCAGCGTGTCCAGCGTGTCGTGAGAGTCGGTCAACGGAGATGGATATGTGGTGGGATCGCGATGGCAAGAGAGACTAATCAGTAGCAACTCATAAAGGCACATAGTGTCCACTTACTTCAATGAGAGGCATGATCCTCCGAACGTGAACGTGAGCAAGCGGAGAACAGGGAGATGGAAGTTCAAAGTCAAAGTGCATTCCGCACTGCGGCCCGAATATGGCTACCGAAGCGCCCGAGCGTGATTCCCCACCGGCGTGCCGCATGGTAAGTAGCTCACTGGCTAGAAAGCAGGGCACACACTTTTGCATTGTAATACGATCTATCGGTGGTACCCTCAGGCATATAGCTAGGAGGTAATCACTGTAGGAGTGAGGGAGTGACCATGTCCAGGAACCGAACCCGTCCACCCCGCATGCCCACCTGTACTATATATGTTCCTGGCCATGTAGACTCATGTCCCGTTTAGCTCAGTGGTAGAGCGCATCACTTGTAGGAACATTGGTTCTGAAATGATGAGGTCAGTCGTTCAATCCGGCTAACGGGAATACATTTTCCGAACGGCGCAGCTTTTTGGGCCACAGCACCGTCGATCCCGAGTAGAAGCTCGCAATGTTGAGATCTAGAATGATTCTACGCGTAAGAGTTCCCTCTGCTCTCCAACCACTATGGACAACGCATGACCCGACCATGGAGGTAACGTGCGTTGTCCAGGGGTCTCCTCGTAGCCATCCGTGACCCCATCTCCGAAGAAGACGTATCCCGGTATATAACGGTCGACAAAGCTGTTCAGCAGACTTAGCACGATGCTCAGGGGAAGACCGAACGTCAACGTACCTCACCACCTGTTCGTCGGTCATGCCTCTCCCACCATTACGCGCTTTCATGTGGTGCTCTTGCTGGAGCCTCCACTTGTAAATGAAATCGTACGGATGCTCGTCGGGAGGCCTGATCTGTGGGGCGTCCAGTGCTCAACGCGGGACAGCAGCACTCGAGAGAAGTACTTACCTGGATGAACGTATCGAACAGGTCCCACCAAGCGATGTAGTCCTTGAGGCGCTCGTTGATGTCAAGGACATCCTCCAGGCGGTAGCCCTTCCTGCTCAGGAACCCATCCTCGAGACCCGGTAGTGGGCGCGTCCACCGTCGCTCGACCTCCTCTCGAGGAATCGGGTAGAAGCCTACGCACCAGCCCTCGAAGAGCACGATGTCTATAGGAGGGCGCACAACGGCTCCTCCGGGTGCGCGGTCGCCCTCCCCGCCGAACAGGCTCTTGTCGAAACTCGGGAGCTGGAGCCCGGGGCCGTCGGAGGGAGACTCGTTGATGTGCTTGAGCTTGGTGAGGACCTCCGTGCCCAGAGCGATATCGTGAGTCCCGGGCTGTCCGCGGCCTTGAAGCAGACCATTGTGCGGGTATGCTCGAGCGACTGCGACCAGTCCATCGTGTGGGAGGTAGAGATCGTCGAGGGAGAGCACCGCGACGGAGAGGTTATGTGGCGGTGCTTGGAGCGTGTCCCGGAGGATGGACGTGAGGTAGGTCTTGCCGCTACCCTGCGGGCCTTGTACGCCGACTACGAGAGGCGGCACGGCAAGATTCTGAGCACCCGAGGAGCCAGGGCGTGCGCGATGGAGATGCAGTTGAGCGAGGATGTGCGAGCTCATGTGCTGGATTGCCTCCGGTGGAGACGCCCCGGCGCCGCCGCCAGAAACAGTCTACAATCGCGCGCAGCGTTGGTAAGTCTTCCTTGCGCGCAGCTCGTGTATAGCTCTCTGCACATACCTCTGCTACCATCGCGATAATTGACGGCGTGGTGGTCGAGGTGATAGTGAGCTCGCGACCTTGTGAACGGTTTCCGCGGGCCGGCTGCTCGCGAACTGAGGGGCGCGCGAGCGCCGGCGGCAATTGCCGTGCTGTGTAACGCGCGCGTCGGCGCAGTTCTCGTCCACGTCGAGTCCTCGCAGGCTGTCTCCTCCTCCTCCTCTCCCGTCTGCTGGTGATCATCTTCCCTTTCGCCCCGCGTTTACGACCTGAACGACCCGCGCTCGAGCAAAATGATGTCCTCCTCTGACCCAGACGCCTCGGCAGGGCCGTTCCAACCGCTCATGGCGCACTACGCGAAGGGACAGCGGCAGTACCAGCAATGGCTGGACAGGGTTACCCCATTCGTGCTGTATAGGTGGCTGAGCACTGCGGGGCTGCTGGCGCTGTTCATGTTGAGGATTGTGTTCGCGCAAGGGGTGAGTCTTCGTCCGGTTTCAGCTGTGCCGGGGCATTCTGACGGGACCGCGGACTGTTCGTCTCCGCGCACGTTGGGCTGTAGTGGTACATTGGTGCGTCATCCTGTGCGTTCTCCTGCGGTCGATGGCTTACGGGCTCTCTTTAAGTATGCTGTACGTGCTTGTCGAAGTCACTATCTTCCTAGGTCAGGCGACTGACCTTGACCCTCGCCATGAAGACGCGCATGCCATCTACCTCTTGAACCTCTTCCTCGCGTTCCTGCAGCCAAGATTCGACCCTTCGCTTCAGGACGACCTGCTTGCCGACGAGCTCGAGGAGGGCGAGGAGGCATCGCCCTCGCCGCTGCCCTCCCAGCGCGACGATGAGTTCCGCCCCTTCGTCAGGCGGCTGCCTGAGTGGCAGTTCTGGTGCGTCCACATCAGCTTCTGTCCCTGTGGAACGTTGACTGACGAGACGGACAGGCTGTCTGCGACGCGCGCCACGATATTTGCCCTCCTCGCGACGTTCTTTGAGATGTTCGACGTACCGGTGTACTGGCCCATCCTTGTCGTGTACTTCTTCGTCCTCTTCGCCCTCACCATGCGCAGGCAAATACAGTACGTGTACAACGCCGCGCTCCAGCAAACAGTGCACTGACATGCACCACACTCCTGCTCTGACAGACACATGATCAAGTACAAGTACATCCCCTTCGATCTCGGGCGCAAAGCGCGTTACGGCGGGCACAGGTGAAGATCGTGGTGATGGCCTCCCATGATGTGTATGTAGTAGTAAGTCATTGGACACATTTTCTCGGCTGCTCGATCTCATGCTCGCGTTTGCAGGAAGACAGGGTGTGCTTACTATGACATAGAACGATCTGCTACGCCTATCATACCGGACTGTCCTATACACTTGACATAGTACAGGGCGGACTGTCTGTACGACCAGTGTCCGTATTGCCACCAACATATTCACACGCAGCGGGGTATTCAGAAGACGAAGGGTATGACTGCCTTGCGCTCCTTCGGGTAGTCGGGGAAGCGGTTGTGGTACCACTTGTGCCCCTTGTACGCGCGGGGGAGCATGAGCCACACCTCGTTGAGGAAGAAGATCCAGGGCGGGGTGACCGTCGCAGTGAATGTCGCGAGGGACGCGAACGACGGCGCGGGGGCCGCGGCGAGTGCGAACCCAAGCCACTCGGCCCACTCGCAGAAGTAGTTCGGGTACGAGATGAAGCGGTAGAGGGCGCCGTGAGGGATCGCGTAGTGCTCGCCCTTGCTCTTGTCCTTGCCGTTGTTGTCGTCCGCCTTGTCCTTGCCCTTCGCCTTGGCGTTGCGCCGGATGTTGAGCAGGATCTCGTCGTGGTAGATGTTGCCTGCGAACCCGACTGCCCAGAGCGCGACGCCGAACCAGAAGAGCGGGCGCTGGAACGCCCCCGCGAGGTGCGTCTGCGCGGCGGGGGAGGATAGGTACGAGCCCATGAGTGAGCCGTTGAGTGTGTTGAAGACGACGGCGGAGAGGACGACGGAGAGGTGCGATTTGGAGCGGGAGGGCGTGCGCAGGGGCGAGATGATGGCGCGGTTGAGGTAGTGCGTGAGGAAGAGGGAGGCGAGGAAGGTGGGCGGGTGCGTGAGCGTGAGGGGTGGGGCGGTCCCGGCAGCCTTGGGGGACAGCGGGGATTGTGTGTACGTGTAGATGAACGTCCCGAAGGACACAAGCTCCATGAAGATCCATGAGCGGATACCTGCCAGTTAGTTGACGGGAGTGAGTCTGAGCAGTTCGTTGGTGTGAGGATTCACTGGACGCACCGTCAACCGAGAATATGCTCTTCTGGAGGGATGCGAAGCGGCCGAAGGGCGCGTCGATGAAGAACGTTGGTGGCAGGAAGAAGGGCGGGATTAGGGCGAACCACTTCCGTGCAGCTAACGCGTAACGTCAATAGGTCTCATCGTGAGACTAGCCGTTGTAAACGCCGGGAGAGACTGAGTACACACTGTCGTAGGCAACCTGCGCGTTGTGGACATCCAACAAGAAAGGCGGCATCTTGGTCAATTCTGGGTATACGAAGGCCTGGTGGTCAAGGAGAGGTCGTGAGTACGGTGGGTACTGGCAGTGGTACCAAGTAGAGTACTGCCACTAGTACTGAACGGCGTTACGTAACTTACTGACATCACAACCACATCATAATCGGCAGTGACTAAGACTAACTAGTAACTAGTAACTCTTGACTCTTGAGACCAACGCTTTCACCCGCACTTAACAACCTTTTAACCCCGGTCCCCAGTTCGTACCTGTCCATGTCAACATTCAAACAGTTAGCGGCCCCGATCGACGTCGACCCGAAAGTCCTGTTTGCCCCCGACTCAGAACATCCTTCGCAAAGGTTCGATTGTCATAGAGTCGGCGTAGGTGATAACATATGCACGTTCCACAATCTTACATGAAACAACCGTAGTACTGGCGAGCAAGGATACATAACATGAGGTGGCAGTGGCGAGAGAGAGGGAACCCGACGCCGACATCGAATAACTGAACCGTGGTTCACTGACTGCCGTGCTGCTGCACCCGAGACGGCCGACGTACGTTCAATCGTGCTACGGTCTCCCAGAAGACCGAGTGACCCGTGCAGGACGTTTCAGGTTCGACTGTTGCTCGCGCTCGTCCTCGTACTCCGTCACCATGCGCTTGGAGCCGGTCGCTGGTCGAGACGTCGCACGAGCCTCCTCGGGAGCGTCGTTCTTGGGACGGTAGTTCTTGGGGAGCTGATCTGGGACGGTGTCTTGGGGCGGCCATTGGCGCACCATCTTGCCGACAAAGAAAGAGGCATACAGGCGCTCGATCTCCTTGTGGTCGTACAGCTTTGCAGCCTGATTCTCCAGTTTCTCCAGCTCCTCAGGCGTCACATGCGCACGCTGGGTGGCGTAGATGTCAGCATTGGGCTCGGGCAGCTCTTCGATGACCTGCCGCATGCCAGCAAACCGGGCCGGGAGCAGCACAGAGTCGTGAGCAGGTTCCTGAAGGGGTTCGTCGCCGCCGACGGGAGGTGGTGGGAGATTCGAAAGTCTATGGAGAGTATACCGAGCGCTGAACAGTCGGAGGAGACTTTCGATCAAATCGTTGAGGATGTGGGTCTGGGAAGGGGCCGAGTTTCCAATAGGCGGAGGAGTGAAGCCCGGAGGAAGGCTGAAGGTGAGTCGTCCAGAACCCGCCACGTAAATGACACCATGGTTTACGGCGTTGCGCTTCTTCTCTCCACAATAGTACTCCCCTTTCCCCCTCTCGAAGCCGTCAAAATAGTTGTGCATGAAGTCGCCCACGTCATAGATG